GCCTGAATACGGCAGATATACCTGTTCAGAGTTTACAGTTAAGAAAGCCCATTGTATGCAATAAATAACTCGCAAAATGCTTGGCTTTATGGGAGTGGTTACTGCAACTAGTAGAGTCTCTTGGAAGAAAATCTATCTTTGTAAACATAGCAGGATAGGCGAGCACATCCAGGGTAATGGGATGCTCCACTGTACTTCATTTACTTAACATGAAGGTCAGTTTTAGCCACTTAAAACCAGGACACTTCCACATGGTGAGAAATTATCTAGAAGTAATTCTAGATAATTATAGAATAATCCACACGTGGATTTCTATTTGATTGCTTTGGGAAGTATACACTACAGACTATCTAACCCCCATCCTTCAAGAGTTGAAAATTAATTCTCTAGGTAAAGTTCACCAGAAAAACATGAGAAATTATATATGACACAGTCCTTTTCTAACCCCAATGCATCTATGTGGACATCAATATGTGTTACCTCCTACTATCAATGTGCTATTTTTAACTTATAATGTTCAATCTTTGCTCAAAGTAAGACATACGATTAGTGTTTTGAGGAACAGATTTGCTCTAATTTAAAAGAGAGGGGTGGAAATGTTCTAGAAAGGGGAAAAAAAATCCGAGCTCTTTATAAAACATATGCAAATTCCTCGAAACTGCTTTATAAAACAAATTTAAATTATGGGCTTCCCAGTCAACATTTCCAAAAGGCCCTCTCATTCTTTTTTAATTCTTTTCAAACTAAGCAGTCTCCATCTGAGAGCTGGACCCCTCTTTTCTTTGGTCTCTCTGCAACACAGGCGCCACTGAAATGGCTTATTAACCCTCATGTCAGTTGGAGCAGTTCTGGGTTCTCTGGGTTTGCTACTCTGCAGTTATGGGTCACATTATCCTAATCGATCCTACTGTTATCTAAAACCATTAACTTGGTATAGGGATTAAACAGTCACCTAGGTGACCACTCTGCCGCCATGTTAACCCATATATGACACGTGTGTGTGTACGTGTGTGTGTGTCAAGGCTGCGTGTAGTGCTTCTGAAAAGTTCAGATCATTGAAGTCTTTTCTGTGACTCAAACTTGTTTTCACTCCCAACACACCTGACAAATGAGACACTTCAATCAGTAAAAATGGTTCTAGGGAGGGGGTTGGGAGACACACACTCACTCACTGTGTCGTCACAGGAAAAGCCTCTGAGGTAGTTTTGATAGCCTACACACCCGCCCCCCAGGGCATGAGGAGAGAGGGTGTAAGCCCCGCCCACACTCAGGGTTGACAATCACTGGTTTAGTATGGCATTCAGTGCCCCAAGGGGCGAGGCCACAGGCCAGCTTCCGCCCCGCACCCACCCCCCAATGAAGTCTGGCTCCACCCCCTGCCCAATTCTCCGCTGAAGTTAAAGAGCTGATTTTACCATTTGCCCCTGAGCTTTGATAGGAAGAGAAACAAAGACAGGGCAACATTCCTTCCCTCTAGAGAAAAGCAGGACCAGCTATACACCACAGCAGAGGAGTTGCCCCTCACCCCACAAGGTGCAGGATCTGGGGGGCTAAATGAACCTCCCCCCAATGCCTGAATCCCCTTGACAAAGACAAATCATTTCATTGCACCGCAATTAGCGATCCCACGGAAAACAGAATCCTCCTCTGACTTAAACACAGACATGTTATATGCAGATGACTGATAACACGTGCATAGCTCCTCTCCTGAAACGAGGCTTCGATTAGGAGAATGGAGAGGGATACGAGGCCAGGAGAGGCTGCCACAGGAGGGCCAGACTGAAGGAAGAGGAAGATGGGCATGCCTGGGGGACTTTGTCTCCTTCACAATGTAGCCCAGGCGGATAACACATGGCTTTACCGGGACTGTCCAGAAAAAGAGAACTGGGACCTTTGGAGATTACTTCTGATTTCAGCCCAAATATTTTCTATACAATTTTAAACAGATTCCAGCTACATTCTAAAAACCCCAATTAATGCTTATTGTTGAGCAGGACAATAAGTAAATTCATTAATCAAGACCTTGCTTACATCCCTCATGGTCAAGGTTAATTGTGTTTTTCCAAACCAAGATGCTCGACCTTCTGTGACTCCATTAATCCAGGAATAAGTGGCACTATACTGATACCCAGGCATCGTTTTAGATACTATGGGTCATATGCTGTCCTGGAGGGGCCCAAGCGCCATAAAACTGTCCTAAATGTTTAATTTTATGCAGGTCATAGCAATTGTTTAATCAAATTATTATCTTTCAAAATGGAACTGTAAGCGAATCCCCAAAGCATTAATTTGCTAATCACTCCTTTGATAACTATTCTAATATTTCATGTCAGTCCTAGCATATGTGTTTAAACAGAATATATATTCACACATAAAGTGAAACATTTTCTATTCCAAGGGTGACCATCACCATTTCATAATTAATATCAGTGTGGAGTGCTGGCTGGAGGTCTCATATGAATCGTCAAAGTAAACTAAAGTAGCACAAGAACAATTAAGTTGTAATTATCAATTCACAGTCATGTGGTTCCAGGTTCAGCTGGAAGATGGGCTGACCACTTACATCTTCTCACTTACTTGTAAAAGACAGATTTTTCAAGCCCCGCTTATTTGGTTAATAAACATATCTGCTTCCGTATATTCAATGCTCATTCCGGGCCAGCATACCGGTCTTAGTCATGACATCTACCGTAATCAACATCTCCCCCTGGCTAAAAGTCACCCAGTCCCTGTGCTTTGGTAAAGGGTGGCAGCCCCTTCATGTGCAGACCACAGTCTCGAGAATTGACCTATAGCACTGGACTCCGCCCAGAGTCGATGGCGTTGTAATTCTCCCACGTGATCAGTAAGGTCCCTCCAGAGTTACCCAAGAATTGGCCAGTCAGTGAGAGAAGAACAAAGCAAAGAGAAGCCAGGTCTAGAATGCATAAAAACAAAACCTACCCTTCAGTTGGCCCGATGTCCCCTTTGGCAGCCCAAGCAGACGAAGGACACGGTCAGGTCCTGGTGGAATCCTTCACCTGCATTATCTCATTAAATCATCCAACAACCTAACACAGTGTTAACATCTCCATTTTACAGATAAGCTGATTCTTCAGCAAAATTAATGTAAACAAGTTTTGAAAACCTCAACTGAGCCATTATCGCCTCCATCCCACTGCTCAAATCCTTGCCCACTTTTGGCACCAGACTCCAGGAAAGAGACAGGATTCACGGGAATTACGATGGGATTGATGGGAACCAGAATTAGTTTATAAGGGGAGAGTAACAGGGGGGAGATGATCCTCACGAAAGTTTCCCCTTCCCTAAAAGTGGGTGTTGATGAGTTAAGAACAGAAAAGAGATGCTTTGGAGCATCGGGGGAGGGAGATCAAGTCAGAGAGGAGAAGAGAACTGGGAAACTGGCTGGAGCTGGACATCACCCCAGAGCCGAAAATGCCATGTGGCTCAGAATCAGGATGCTGGGAGAAATCCAAGATCCCAGGATGTTGGGGTAAACCTGGAGCTTCTGGTTCTGAATCTTGCCTCCAGGCAAGGGGTCAATTAGCGCAAGAGAAATCACTAACAACTTTCCAGTTTCCCTTGAATGTTTCCAGAGATGGACAATTAGAGCACCCTTGGCTGCCTATTTTAATCTTGTGTCCTCCTCCTTGCCAAGGGGCTCTTCCTAACGTCTGGCTCAGATATCTCAGGCATTCCCTGACGCCTGTGTGTGACTCCTCAGCACTCCTTAGACACAGAGAGCTTCTGCTCAGCAGCATCCTCACCTGAGAAAATTTCATCCACCTGAAAATAGTCACTAAGGGGCCTCTTACCATTCTCTCCTCCAAACTTAGGGAATTCATACAGAAGCTGGGGGGATGTTACAGACATGAACCAGACTAGATGGTCCCCCAAGACAGCTTCCAGAGCGGAAAGCTTTTGATTCGAACCCTTCTATTTTCTGAAGTCAGTTTTCCATCGCTTTGTTCATTGTTGTCACCGTATCTGTCATCTGTCCAACTTCTCCATATTCTTTTAATATCTTTAAATCTAATATGCACAGAAACAGCTTCTCACAATATTAAACGAAGACTCATTAATTCAGAGTAAGCTGGAAAAGTCATGTCCCACTGAGTAAAAAATCAGAGTGAAAAGTATTTTCAATTTTTAAAATTATGTCTATTACAAAGGACTACATAACGGATGTTAATAAATAAAATGAGAAAGTTAATGAAAGATGAATTACAATAACTTTATGTTTATGGGACTTTCTGCTTTCAAAATATTGTTCCATGTGTTGTTTTATTTTGCCAATTTTATTCAAAATGTAATCTATAGATAATAGATCATCCAACCTAAACCAAAAAGTCTCGAATTATCCTGCTAAATCTGAACTTTTAATTCAACAAGAATTACATATAATTATTCTAAGTCTGCATCAGAGCAGTCTGAATTAATGAGGTCCTGCTCTACTGTAGCTATAACAAACCTGACAACTTTATGGCCATCTTCTAGCCCAGAGTGTCACTCCCATTTACCCATTAGTAATAAATACTATTTCTCCACACAGGAACTTTTGTCATAACACAGCATCCCGCGTTAAAGAAATTTCACCAAGTAAATTATCTTAAATCTCAAATACCATAGAAATGTTTGATCTGATAAATGAGCTAAGAGTTCATCAGACCCTCGAAAAACACTTGCTTTGCTTTAAAATAAGCCTCAATAAACAGCATATCCCAAGATACTGAGGACCCGACATGTCATAGAAATTATCACCTTTCTGTTTGTTCAGAAAAAAAAGATCACAATTAATCCAATTCATTCTTTTTAAAAATGGAACTAAATCAACACTTGTAGAAACCTAGACACAAACCCCTCTCTGTGAGGAAACTGTGGCCCTGAGAGGGTCTACGAGCATCTTCACCACATTCGCTTTCCTCTTAAACCTGCAGTTGGAGTCAGGACAATTTATTGTCTTTCCACAATGGTCAGAATTGCCTAGTGCCTTTACCTACCTTAAAAAGTCTTAAAATGTTAGCCACCATGATGGACACGGAGCTCGCAGCAGCACCTATGACGCCAGAAATCTTGTCGGGCTTGGTGAAAATGGGTGGATCTCCATTAGCACACTTCACGTCAGAAGCATCTTTCTCTATCAAAGCCTGCACGAACGTTAGTGACTGCTCCAAAGCGTAGGTGTCCCTGGAGCAGGTGTCGAGGATCCGGACACCCAGGGTGATATTGGAGAGGAGATCAGGGTCCTTATTAATCTGGTCAATTGCATAAAGCATGGCCTCCAATCTGTGGATCCCTTTTTCCTTCTTCAGCTCCCCACAAGGCACCCCTCTCTCTCCCTTTGCGTGGACAGGAAAGAGACCTCCCAAAATGATGTCCCCGTCCACTCGTATGGAATGGGCATACTCTTGGCTGTGAGTTCTTTGCATCATCGTGAGGATCCAGTAGAACTTGGCGGTCAGGAGGAAAAAACAAGGACAAGAGGCTGATCGCTTTCCCTCGAATACCATTTTCTCCACAGGTGGTATTGCAATCCAAGACCCAAAGTTTATTCTTGCCACAGAAGAAGGGGAACCACCTGAGGCTGTACCTTCTGGAGGCTACCATCAGGGCCCATGGGGAAAAGGCTCTGTGGGTTTCAGCAGGTGTTCTTGATTTGAATGTCACAGTGAATTTCCATCAGACCCCAAGGTTCAATTTTATTTCCATATAAAGTCAACTTGCCTGGAATGATGCAAAAATTAGAGCAACAGCTGAGGTTCTGATGCTGGGATGAGGTCACCAATTCACATCCTTGAAGTCAGCCGTGTAGCAGAATTATTCCTGGGAGGCCGGAAGCAAAAAAAGAAAGGGTTCAGTTCAAAGGGTCTACATTTTTCATATTTTAAGCCCCGTTTGCACCGACCTCTTTTTTATTGTTTAATTTTCCCTATTCAGTAAGAAACTAATTCTTTTTGTCCCCTTATGATTCTGAACACCTGGCTGCACTGCATCTAAACAGAGAGATTGATGACACTTGTGGAGCAAGGGAAACAGAAACGTATCAGAAACTAGGTTGATTCTCCCAAATCAGAAAGCATTTTTATGTACCATTTCATTTCAATAAATCCAATTTCTGTGAAGGTAAAAATCCTGAGATTGATGGCATGAGTTCTTTTCAAATCTGTTTTTACTTTTTACAGCTGTCTGAATTTAGCATTTAAATTTCGTCCACAAAATCAGAATGAAAGGCTATTTTCTGTGATGTATTCAACAAGCCAGTCATTTGTTAATGACATTTTTGGTGCCTCAGATTTCCCAATGGGAAAAAGTGATTATTCAATCACAAAAAAAAAAAAGAGAAAGGAATCCACCCAAGGAGCCCAAAATGTATAAGTTTTAGAGCTTGTGAAAAGATTAAACATAGAATGTCGGCTATTTTGTGTACATTATCTTATCGTTCTCTGATAACAAAAAAATGACTTGAAAATTAAACACATAGGGTAGGTTATGTGTGAAAATACTCCTATTACCATTGTCAGAGTTTCCTATTAATCTGTCGGAGTGGAAGCAATGGGTATGATTACAGTTCTGAAGCAAACGTTTCTTGATCCTAGAATCACTAGAGAAAATCAGAGCTAGAGGTCTACTGAGGAGCTTCTTAATTTTGTCAGACTCAGTGGGGAAAACAGTTATTTCATCAAGACTAGAAATAACCTAGGGTGAAAACATCTACAAGCAAATCTATAGGAAAATTTTATTCTAGGACCTTCACTGTTAAAGAATGCCATGAGATTCTTTCCAAGGACTTCTGTGGAGGTTTAACTGAAAACAAGAATTGACTTCACATAAGGGAATCTGATGTTTGAAACGCACATGCAGTTAAGAGAATAAACAGCACCAGCATATTTCGCTAGGAGAGTTAATCTAATGTTCATTGCTCACCTAGTTATACGTATGGGTTTGAAACCTGAAATTTGGACAGCTCTCCTCTACCTTAGCCAGCCAACATCTGGTTGTGCTTTCCACTCACGTGTTCAATTTCCAGTTCATAAAATTTTCGTTCCTCCCCAACCCAAAGGAAAGGATGGTGCCTCTCTAGAGGCCAAGTGAACATATATCCAAAAGCCTTCAGAGAAAGCTGCACTTTTTTCACTTTTAGATGAGGAAAGGGGGCTTGCTGTATACACCTGGAGCACACTCAGAAATACAGTCCATGGCCCAGTCTGCGGGGACAGTTGTCATCTGCCTGTGACAAGCATCTCCTGCCTCCTGGCACATGCTAAGCCCTGGATTTCCCATATTCGGCCTCGAAATACTTCGTCCTTTTCTGATTTTTCTCACGACTTGACTAATATTCCGTCACACGTGATTCTCTTAGCAACTGCTTCTCCCTCAGAAAATCTGTGATTTGGCAACAGTCTGACCTCAGGCATTCCACAAAAGGAAACACAAAGCTAACTTGACTTTCTGTATGAAACCATTTAAGTGATGGACCACGGATTACACCAACCACCCATTAAGAGGAGGAGGATTGTGCTTTACAGTTTCACGAGGAGGACCAGTTAGAAGACAGTAAAATCTCATTAACTCTGATGACTAATTCAGGGCTTGTGACCAAGTCCACAGGGCTGGGCTGACCCTGAGCGTATCCTTTCTGGCAGAGCACAGAATGAACGGATACTCGAAGGAGAAATGATGAAGGGGAAAAGGAAGGGGACATGCCGTTCTTCAAGCCACCTCCCAAGTACTTAAAACACTTCAGAGAATAAATGGTTTTCAATTATAGACGACCATAAACTCAGTCTATCTGCTAATTACAAATCATCCTTACCTATGCTACTCATGTGGCATTAACCTAGTTCCACTTGTTGTACAGCCCTGGAGGTAGTAAAATTGAGTTTCTTTTAAAGGTATTCATGTCTGCAATAATTTTTAGTCTCTTTAGCATCCCATAGGTCTGTTTAGAGCTTCAAGTTAGGGAAAGATTGGGGAGTAAATAACAGAGAGACAGGAGTTAGTTTTGTTTAGTGGATGAATGCACTTAAATGGAAAACAAGAGGTGCCATTTTGGTTGGGATTTACTGGGCAGTTTACTTGGATTTTTGCTTAAATCTCCTCCTTTGCAACACAGAATTAAAGGCACATAACCGCTCTGAAGCTCGGTTTTCTTGTCTGTAAAGGGGTGCCAGAACCTGCCACAAGGCACACACGGAGGAAAGCGCAGTAGCTGGCACAGGGTAAGTGCTCGGTGAACAGGAGCGATCGTTGCTAATCTAGTCTGCAACTCATTTTCCACTAAAGCACAGCAACTTTTTCCATATTTGCCCAGTTGGTGAGATTGTTACTGAAAATTTTTGTCACTTTGAAAGTAAAATCAGAGCTACTTACAAAATGTTGAAATAGAGCAGTTATTTCAAGATTGGATACATTGTCATAAAAATCAGACTCTTGATGACCAGAAGGCTTAGTTTCCCTTCAAAATTCTAAGGAAACGTATATTTGAAAGTTTGTAGAAAACTACATAAATCTGGTGGCATCGCATAATCTTGCAGGGCCTAATCTTGCTCTGGGGCAATTCTTGTGAGCGTTAATCTGAACTCATCCTAGTGGACGTCAATGAATTTTAACAAAATGACCTTTTTGTGCTATCGAGCCAGACAGCTCTACTTCATGTTCTGTGCTTGATTTAAAATCAGTTTTTCTCTCAAACGGACCTTCCTCTGGGCTTTGATAGAAACCTCACCTGAGATGATGGACTTCTTCAAGGAGGCGTGAGGTCCACACTCCTGAAAGCGACCTCTGAGGGGAGAAGACACCTTCCACTATTTCTGAGCCCTCAGGCGGAGGGCTTCCAGGAGGCTTAACCATTAAATGCTCGTGCGCAGCCCTTCCTGTTCATTCATTCCCTCCCAGCTGGTCCTAAGTACGCGGTAAATGGGTACCTTGTAGATCATTAGCACTTCCATTACCCACCTCCGTGGCCCGGGTCTGCTGGGGAGCAGGCCCCCCCCAGCTGGGACATGAGTCTGTGGCTCCCTCACAGGCTCTAGCTATTTCCTGAAAGGCCAGGAATATGGACAGCTCCTCAAGGACCAGGGCCCTGAATTCTGCTGCTTTTTTACCTTCTAGGTACCTTCTCTGAACCAAAGTCTCAAGCACCTAACAGAGTATCTCACTGAATTTTCATACACCAATCATTAGGTCTTGTAAATGAGAAAAAAAGGCTCAAAGAGGTTGAGTATGGCCCAAAGCCCTCAGCTAGTAAATGGCACCAAGGTCAAAGTCCTCAGGACCTCCAGGTGGGTCCTGCCCTTTGAGAAAGCCCCCAGTCTCTGCAGAGACTGGGACAGCACAAGCAAGGGGGAAGGCCCTGCCCCTCCACTGAAATCTTTCAGAAATGTGCATATCTTTGAGCGTTAGCTCTGTAAGAAAAATAATGAACTAATTAGGAGGGGACAATCTGGGGGCATTTCCAGGGCAGGGTGGTTTCTGAATGTTTCAACGAGTTGAGAATATCAAATGTAGTTTGTCCAAACCCCTCTGCTTCAAATCCGGTTTCCCAGACAGCCTGACACCAGTGAGAACAAACCCACCAAGCCATGTGGGATCTATCTGGGTCTGTCACCAGGTCTTCCTCCAGCAACCTGGCAAGTGCTTTTAAGACACGGTGTGGTAAAATCCTTACAGGAATAGCAATAGCCAAGAACTGTAATCGTTTTCTCAGAAAAAGGCCAAACAGCCTCCCTCTGCTGTATTCCATTCAGCTCTTTAACAAATAGGTTAAGCTGAATATCATCATCAATTCACAAAATTGCAAATCCGGCAGTTTTTCTTGAAACAGCCCACATTTGCAGCTCTTTTTGGTTGTTTTAGAAAATGCATCATATTTGTTTATCATCTCCTATGCCACCACAGGTATGCACAGCCCTGGAATCTTGATGGGGACAGAATGAGGATGGGCTAGACAGAGACTCCCCTGGCAACAGAGGCCTGGAATTGGATCCTTGTCTGACAGTCGCTGGCTAGTGACACTGAGCACGTCACTTCACCTCTGTGTGCCTCCATTTCCTCATCTGTGAAATGAGTGAGATGGACCATATAATCTCTAAGGTGTCTTCCAGTTTCTTGTTCTGAGGTTCTATTATTTAATGATAAGGGAATATGAGATTATGCTCAAAACACCAGAGCAAGGCTTTGCCAACTGAACACAATAACTGATTTCGTTTGCAAGCTGAGTGGCTTTTCCCCATCAGTGAGAGAGGGTTGTAAAAGCTCTTCTCTACAAGCAGGCCCCATATTAAGAAAATCTGATACATGAGAAGCTCAATTTACTAAACAGATAAATTAGAAGGTGATTATTTGCATTACAAAAGAATTCACCACAGGTTTCCTTTAAATAGCTAAATCCCCCTGTGCATTTAAAATGCAATCTGAGATTTTTTTTAAAAAAAAGAGGCAAAAAAAATGCAATTTGATTTAGAATTCAATTTGCACCATTTTTTTCAATAACACAGCTATTGCATAAAAAGACCACATTTAAAGTAATGAGAAGCGACTTTTATAGTGTGTATCATATAAGAAGAGGGAAAGGGGCTGAAACAAACATTTACTGAATGCTACAGCGTGCCTGGAGCACGTTACCTCATTTGCATTACAAGATACACCAATGAGGTTGGTATCACAGCCCCCATTTGGTATATAAGGAACCTAAAAACAGAAAGATTATATGAATGTTTCTAAAATCTTGGGCCGGAACTCAAATGCAGGACTGTGATATGTTCTTTCCCTTACCCCACACCCCTTGGGTGCAGCAGACCATGAAGAATGTCAAGCTGACCCTGATTTGATGATGTGGACTGTGAGTGTGGCATCCTAGGTTCTGAGAATTACCCCCCAGTACTCACCCCATGGCACTGGGCAAGTCACTTAACCTGGGATCAGTTTCTTTGTTTCTAAACTGAGGAATGATTTCTGGCCACCTCCTAAGGTTGCGAAATGAAATGATATATGTCAAAGTACTTTATAAACTGGCAAGTGCTATAAGAATGTACAGGGAAACTATCGTTTAACAATCAGTCCCGCTGGGACTTCCCTAGTGGTGCAGTGGTTAAGAATCCGCCTGCCAATGCAGGGGACACGGGCTCAGTCCCTGGTCTGGGAAGATCCCACATGCTGTGGAGCGACTAAGCCCATGCACCACAACTACTGAGCCTGCGTTCTAGAGCCCGAGAGCCACAACTACTGAGCCCACGTGCCACAACTACTGAAGCCTGCGCACCTAGAGCCCGTGCTCCGCAACAAGAGAACCCACCGCAATGAGAAGCCCAAGCACCGCAATGAAGAGTAGCCCCCACTCGCCACAACTAGAGAAAGCCAGCACGCAGCAACGAAGACCCAACTCAGCCAAAAACAAATAAATAAAAAATAAATAAATTTATTTTTTAAAAAATCCGTCGCACAATTCAAGTATTTTACTGGTGTACTGTGCTTAGAAGACCCTAAAAAACACTTTCCCGTCGTACACAGCGCTGGCCAGACCTTAACAAGTCATGCGTCCAAGAAATCAAAGGGAAAACTGGAAGGAAGGACACAAGAGGAAAAGTCAATGGCAATCAACATCTGGCTGGAGAGCTGAAGTTCATGGACACTTGGAGCACCCAAAGGGCTGTTCTGAAGAAAGTGGTGACAAGATATTCTTCTGTAGTGAGAAGAGGACAACAGGATGCCTTCCTAAGTTGTATGCAGGACAAGATGCAGAGCTTCTACCACTACGGCTCATTACCACTAGAAAAGTTAGCCAGTAAACAGCCAGAAGATTTCCATCTGCAGGGATACCCTTGCCTGGAAAAGTATGTGCTCAATAATTTGCACATACTCCTCTTCAGCCTCTCCTACATCTTCCCACTTCTGCGCACCTGCTCCCTCCTCCCCCAGACCTGGATCTGCCCCCTCCCTCAGGGCTGATGTGTCCTACAGGTCACAACCTTAAGACCTGGCTTCCTGTTACTGTGGCCCTCCCCAGGGAGTGAGTAAATTCATCAACAGGTATCACAACCTGAAGATGCATTACTGTCATCCCCCAACTGGAACAGCTGCATTTATAAGACCATTTCCAGGAGATCCATAATTTCTTTACCAAAGAAATGTCTCTAATAGTGGTTAAGACTGGCACTGTAACAAACCAAAGCCGGGAGTTATCATAAGTCAGGAGCCTCTCAAATCCATCCCACAGCAATGCCCACCACTCAGAAGGCAGGTCCTGGGAGAAAAATGCATCATGCTCAAGGTCCTCAGTCAGTGGGTGAGTTCATCACAAGTTGTCCAAGTACCAAGTAGAAATAAAAATCAAACCAAAGAACTCTCTGAGGGAAGGAAGGAAGGAAGGAAGGAAGGAAGAAGGAAGGAGGGAGGGAGGGAGAGGGAAGAAGGAAGGAAGGAAGGAAGGAAGGAAGGAAGGAAGGGAGGGAGGAAGGGAGGGAGGAAGGGAGGGAGGAAGGAAAGGAGGGGGGAAGGAAGGAAGGGAGGAAGATAGTTCAAATATAAATTTCTAGCAGACAGAAGACTCCCCTTGGGATGGAAACATCATAATCCAGCTGGCTCTCCATTCATATCCTTTTCTCCCACACAACATGGGGTGGTCGTCCCCCCTGAGCAAACTACATGAGTGAGTCTGGTCATGTCCAATCAGGTTCTATCAAGAAAACAGCAACAGTTTCCTGAACCTTCAAAAGCCAGCCTATTTGACAGGCATCGAGATATGGCCAGATCTTTGCTGTGGGTCCAGCTAAGAGATAACTCCATGCAACCATTTCTTTTTAAGACACTGAGACAGGGCAACCCCATTCCCTGGACTAAAGCAAAGTCCTCTTTCTGTTGAGTATTCTAACTACAGGAGGAAGACCGTGGGAAAGGAACTTGGAAGGAAAAAGGCATTGCTACCACGAGCACATGTATACAGTGCTCTGTGCCTCATGCCCTGAAGGCAGCGAAATGCTCTTACACAATGATTGGCACTAGATGTGGCCGAAGCGAACGTCTGCGCGTTGTTTGCTGCATAAATACCAATTAAACAAGCCCCGCAGCAGCTTCAACCTGCCCAGCCAACTTTGAAAAGAGCACATCTCTCCAGACCTCTAACTTTCTCCTGCAATCGTTAGAGCTCAACTCTTCCTTTCATCTATTCCTTTTGGATTTAGATGTTTTTAGCATTATTAAGTAGTAATAATTTGTAAAAGGAGCAGGAGGGCAGAACTAGCTAGCACAAACCAAGCAGAACAAATGGAGCCTAATTAACTGTGCAGAGCTGTACTCTCAGCATCTTTTTCTTTATCCGGATAAAGCCTCTCCTGGGGGGCCTCCCCTCACCTATTTCTCCCCATATCCCTGACTTAAAAGCAAGAATTCTTTGTCTTTATCTCAAGTATGATACAACCTGTAGTTGACTTTGAAATGGGAAAATTGCATTTAAAAGCTTACTTCATCTTCCCCGATGGGTAAGGCTTTTCAAAATTATCAAACCACAGATTTTCAAGAAACAGGCAATGAACTCCACACAGCTGGTTCTGTCTCCGACAGAGATCTTTGAGGACATTATTCACAAGCAAGGGACCAAGGTACACTAAAGTGGTTTCTGTAGCCATTTGCAATTACTGACAATTTCATAACGGAAAATGGAAATTATAGTCAAGTGCAATAAACTGTTTATCCAAGATCTACCTGCTGGTGGCTCTTTTTTCTCTTTTCATTTTTTCTTTCAAGCAAAATACCAGCTATCATCGGAATGCATTTCTCCCGTTTGTGATTTTCCTTATCGATACCTCCACCACCAACCCTGTTTTCCAGTTCTGATGTTGGCAGGATTTGTATTCAATCGCGGTCGTGGCCGAGACGGTAGTGTATTCTTGGATGTTTGCGAGACTCCCACGCCGTCAGGTCTGTGGGAAAGGATCACCCCCAAATGGCAAATAGGGCATTTCCTCCTCGGGCGGGACTCGCTCCGGGGACTGAGGGTTTGGGGCTTCTGCAGCTCGCGGGTGGGTCTATATTCACCCCTGCCCTCCCGGGCGCGCAGACACCCTCTGATCCCCGGCCCCGGGGGAAACAATTCTTCAGGGAAGCGTCGAGGGCGCCGTCTTGCGCAGTTGGCTGACTCGCACACCCCTCCGCATTTCAGGTGCACCGAGGAAGCGTGTCAGACGGGGTTTTGGGGGGCGGGGACTCTGTTACATTTTCACCAACTGTACGAACCTCAGAGGATCTCCGAGCTGCTTGGCAGAGCCCCTGGGCTCGCTCTCGGCGCGGCTCAGAGGGTTCTCCGCCTCTGCCTCTATCTCAGCCCGCAGCCACTCACCCCGCCCCCGCTCCCCTCTTCCCTGCCGCATCTTTAATTTTCTTCTCTGTTCCTTCGTCTGTTGAACCCCGGCTACGGGTAGAGCCAGGGCCTTAGGAGAAGTACCCGGTTCCTCTTGCCTTTCCCGCGCCGCCGGGGTATTCCGGCGCCGCCCCAGTCCCCCGGCGCGCCCGGGGATCCGGGCTCCGCGCGCTGCAGGGCAGGGAGCGCCTCCGCCCCCGCCGCACCTGGCCGCCGCGAGCGCCCACACCCCGCGCGGGTCCCAGCCAAACTGGGGCCACGCTGGCCGCAGGTGCTTCGGAGGCGCTGTCGGGGGCATTGCCTTTGTCGTTTAAACTCAAGATGCCCGAGACCATTACTCCTCCTCCCACCCCCAGCAGGACACGGAACTCCAGTGTTTTCCTGAAAGCCGCAAAAGGGGGGCGCGGAAACCCCAACCTCGCCGGGCTAACTCGGGGAACGCATGCTCAGGCATACCACACGTACGCTGTGTGGGGATGTGGGGTCTCGAGAACCCCCAAACCACCCGGCTTCCCCCGCGACCCCCATCTTCCCTAGATCCTGCTTAGACATTCATCCAGCCCCACGCTCAGGAAGGCGGGGGTTACCCCAACTCATCCCGGAAGCCTCTAACTTCGGAAATCCCTCCCGTTAGTTCGCGGAACGGAGGTACCTCGTCATCTCGGCGGGGCAAGTCCGGATTCCGCCAGGGCAGATCCAGGAGGTCACACGGGGCAGGCAATCCGCGGAAGGAGCGCTTTACAATCCTGCCGCCGCACGCCCCATCCGAGCACCCTAGGCGCGCCTGCCCCTTCCCGTCACCCTTCAGTCTCCCATTCGCCGACTAAACTTTTGGGGGACCACATCTCCAAGCCCTGGGAGTTCCATGCAAAGCCTGCCTCTTTTCTGAACCTCCTCACTGGAATGTAATCATGGGAAGATAAGAGGGGTGGCTGCCTTGTTCTTTGCAACGTAAAATCAACAGACACCCAATCAAGCTCCGATGCCCGGCCAGCCCCTCGCCCCCTGGTGCCCACTCTCCCTCGCCTCTCATTCCCGTCACCTCCGCCCACCAGTTCTCTCCCGGACCCCGGGTGTGCAAGGCCATCTACTTGTGCCCAGGAAAAGCAAATCACTAAAGTGATCTGGGAAGGAACGGTGCACCTGGCTGTCCACTGAACGGTTTTAGGGAAGAAAACGAAAAGGGGAATCAAAACGGGGGAATTCTCTTTTTTCCTCAAGCACAGCCTTTGGGGAGAGTTCGGGGGTGGGGGCTTTTTTTCCTGTGGTTCGGCACTTGCTCTTCTCTTTTCCTCTCTCCGCTGCTCGGCGAGCCTTACCCTGCTCCCCACAGAGGGCGCGGTGAGGAAGCCCGCGGGGGGCCCGCAGCTCCATGTCAGCGCCGCCAACGCCGCCGCCGCCGCTCTAGGAGAGCACCGCGGCCGCACTTGTGGCTGGTCTCGGGGCTGAGGGGGCTGAGCTGGCCCAGCCGGCGCCAGGTCTCTTCCATGTGAATAACAAATACTCCCACCGGCGGCCGCGATTGGCCTGCTCCCGGCGCCTCCAGATCCTCCGCCCGCGGCCATTCACCCGGCGCGGTGCGGGGAGCCGCGGCCGGGATCGCGCCCGGGATCGCCAATCGCTTTGCGCCAACCAGTCACTTCGGGAAGCAGGAGGAGGAACCCCGAGGGGCGGGAGCCCCTGGATTTCGGATTTCGGTGTCTCGGTTCTGCCCGGGTACGGGCAGGGAGAGGGACACTCGACCGGCGGCGGATTCCCCTCCGCGCTTCATCAGCCCTCAGCGATGCGGGGACCAGAAATGTCAATAGTTCTGATTTTAAAAATCACTGCATCCGCCCCGCCCCCGACAAAAAAAGGGAGGACCCAAAGACTGGGGGTGGGGCGGGGAGGGTAGGAAGAAGTGCAGGCGGCTGTAAGTAGGAGTAAGGCTGTGAAGGAGAGGAGCGCCTCCGACTGCCAGACGAGCCCGGGACACGCGCGGGAAGCGCAGCACGAAGGCCACCCGGAGCACGTAGTCGGGACCACGAGCCCGGGGCTCGCCTTCGTGAGCAATGGGTCACGAAAAGGGTCACCGTGAAGAGTACACGGTAGACGGCACGTGTCCCGCCCCACGCTTTCTTGTTGGGGATGCTCAGAGTAAAGCCTTCAGCTGCGCGCTTCCCCTGCAAAGTTTGCTCGCGCCGCGCTACCGCTCGGCCATTTATCCTGCCCCGCGGCTCTCGGGGCGCAGTCTACAGAACCCCCGCAGCCCGAGCATGGACGGAAGATCGGGCCGCTGCGGGCCCTGCGCAGAAGGGGGCGCGGGCCGGCACGGTGACCGGCATCTTATTGAGCTGATTCAAGCAACTGCAGATACGGGGCGGGAAAATCCTGGGGACCCACGCCACGCAGCTCCTGGGTTCCCGAGGGGAAACTCAACCGATGGAAGCCCGCCGGACTCGACGGGCACGGTCCAGAGGCACTCTCCACAAGTTACTGCCCAGGCACCCCGCACCTGCCCGGGGCGAAGGAAAGGAGCCGCTCGCCGCCCAGCGCCCGGGAAGCTGCGGCCCGCCCGACCTTGTGTTAGTGAGAAAGTTCCATCTAGAGGCGGCCGCGCGCAACTGCAGCCGGCGCCCCAGGCCTGACCTCCTGCCTTGGCCGCCCGGTGAGCCAGGGAGGGAGTGCCGCCTCTCCCCACCTCCCAGACAGCGCGGGAACGCTGGGGTTAGAGCGGGACAGCCAGCAGGAGATGGGGAGGATGGAGGAGGGGAGGACAGGCCCGGTGCAAGGCAGGCCCTCTACCCCCGGTCGCATCTCTGCAATGAATTCCAACTTCCTAAGCATCATGAACTTCATAAGTATCATGACAGGTACCTTGCGTTATTCTGTATATTGCTTATCCGGCGTGGGCTTCTTTCATTCTCACACCAACTCTGAGGTGATCAAAATTATTAAGTCCACTCTACAGATGAGGAAGGAAACCGAGGCTTAGAGACACAGCGAGAAAGCACTAGAGCCAGAAATCAGGGCAGCCTGGCTTCCAAGCCCCATACACACTTTCTCTCTGGGGCTGTTGCTTTTCCTAAGGCTGGTGTTAGGGTACCAAGTTTCCTCTTTCATAAAGCCACCCTCGCCCTTTGTCACTTAGGAAAAAAATCTACAGGTTTCCAGCCCAGGAGGTCTCTTCTCCTTTCATTTCCATGTCTTCGCATTCCTTTCCCTTCCCTCTCTCATCACCACATGAGGAGCTAGCTATTCGATTGTAGAATCATTATTTTATGGCTGCAACCGCCTGGAGGGAGGATGGAGAGTTTGGAGAGATAAAATAGGCTGGATCCCGTGTCCTCAAGTTTCTATACCGGGATCCTCAATTCACTGTGAACGCACAGCACAGCCTTGAGGGAGTGACCAGGGGGCAGTGCAGCCTGGGGCAGGGAATGTGCAAACAGAGAAGGCGGCTTCATTGATACAGAGATGGGGCTGGGAGGGCTCATGGGTCACATGCCTGCCCATGAATTTGGGGAACTTTCTTATGAACTGGAAGAGCTCCCTCTACCCCCAGAAGTGTGAAGGTAAGCTGAGCAGCCTGATGTCCATAGTAGACAGCCCACCCCCGCCACACACTGCAGACTGGCGCCATCTGGCTCAGCAGAGTAATGCAGGTGTGTGAATAAGTCCCTCTGTAAACCCTTTTCTATGTGTGCCTTAATACATTTGTGGGGGGGGACTTCCCTGGTGGTCCAGTGGTTAAGAATCCATCTTGCAATGCAGGCAACTCCGGTGGTTCGATCCCCCGTCAGAGAACAAAGATCCCATATGCCGCGGGGCAACTAAGCCCACGCCACAACTAGAGAGCCCAAATGCCACAACTAAGACCCGACGCAGCCAAAAATAAATAAATAAATATTGAAAGAAAGAAAGGAGGAAGGGAAGAAGGAAACATATGTCTCTTCTTAAAAAAAAAAAAAATTGGGGGGGAAAAGGACATGAAGGAGAGGGCAGGCAGAGCAAACCCAAAGGTACCCTGTACCCACAGAGCTGCTGACAGCACCGTAGTCCTCAGCGTCTGCTAGAGGCCAGCTCTGGCTCCAGGAGTATTGTCACCCAGGTGAGCATGGAGGGCAGCACCCTGGCACTCTGGTGGGCCCATCTCAGGAACAAGGACAGCACAGCTGGTTGTGGCTTTGGAGGCCTGACAAGACTGAGTGAGCTACTCAGGAGAGAAATGCCTAATGAGCCTGCTCTTCCCCTTCCCCTACTGATCGCTACCTGCAGAGAACTGGGGTCCTGCGTGCACATCGTGGCCTTTTCCGGTGCAGCCCTCTGAGAGATGAGCAGAATTGGTCTCTCCTAGGGAAAGTATAATTCTGACGTTCGGTTTTACATCACCTTTAACTCTTGAAAGTGAGAACGGGGCCATCATCCCAATCTGACATGGAATCTGCTCAATACGGAATAAATTCATTCTACATATTCCAGAGTGTTTCCAATGACTTTATCTGGTGGCCCCTGAGCAAGTGACAAGCTCACATACAGGTCAGAATCCAGCCAGACTGATAGCCACATCAGGGCACAGGAAGCGAGACTGTCTCCACAAGTCATTGGTCCCTGCCAGTAACACTCACATGGTTACACTAGGCAGTCCAGCCCGGACTCAGCAGGCTCAGACCCCACGGCTCCACTCACCCTCTGCTTCAGCCTGTGCCAGCAGCTGATTCCAGAGTCACCAGCCTGGTCTCACCTTGGGCTACCCCACCACGACATGAAATGTGTCTTTGGAAAGTGTCTGACCTCATCATCCATCCCACCCCCAAATATTTATGCACACCAAATCTATTTCCAGACGGTTAATCCTCAAAGGAGATTTGCCTATAATCTCATTTTTCCATTGATTTCCAATGATTTCCATTGATTTCCACGTGAAAAACTGCCTGTGTGTTAGATAATGCAAAAAATAAATGCCATATATTTGGGGTCCATTTAACTCAAGCTGTGATATGTATTTCACACATGGAGACTTAGGCCACAATTCCTGCTTTGGGGTAATCATTGAGACTCAAACTTTTGCAGGCTACTCACCCAGGAGGCATACTGGCAGCATGAAGCTCCCACATGGAGCAAAGCTAAGAGGGCAAAGTGGGAATACAATTTGTTTCTTCTGGAAACTCAGACAATCCATATATTTTTTTTACTAGACCATCTGCAAGTGGTGGTGAGTGTACCATGTGGGTTTTGCTCAGTTTATGAGAGCCCTGGCTCCTGGAAGCAAGATCAGATGTGTGAGACCTATCGACAGGGCCAGTGAGGGGCATGACAGCAGTGCGCCCCTCCCTGCACCATCAGCTCACCCCTGCATGCAGAAGCCACGGGGAGGGATTTCCTGAGAGGGGAATCTATGGCACAGTGTACATGCATCCTGCTGGCTTCAGCTGGGCTCCCCCAGAAGCATAGCCTGAGACAAGGATTTAAGGGAAGGTAGGTTATTTAAGAGGTGAAGGAGGGCCCAGTAGTGGAGTGGGCAACAGAGCCAAGAAAGAATGTGTTATCAAGCCAGCTGCCCCTGTGGGGCCTGGGGATCTGCATGTTTTGCAAACATTCCAGGTGATTCTGATGCCTTTCACTAAAATGTGAAACCCACTGCTTTCAGGAAATCATTCTCACAGGCAATCAGCAGGTGGCACATTTAAATATATAAAAACTTACTTGCAAAGCCTAGGGAGGCAGACCTTAGAAATAGGAGTCCAGGGAGGGGAGGCCCATGCTGCCCATGTCTGTGGTCACAGAAGCTCCTGTCCTCTCTTTTCCACTCTTTTCATTTTTTTTTTATGCTTTTGTAATGCCTGTCTCTCTTTTTTTTTTTTTAACATCTTTATTGGAGTATAATTGCTTTACAGTGCTGTGTTAGTTTCTGCTGTATAACAAAGTGAATCAGCTCTACATATACATATATCCCCATATCTCCTCCCTCTTGCATCTCCCTCCCACCCGCCCTATCCCACCCCCCTAGGTGGTCACAAAGCACCGAGCTGATCTCCCTGTGCTATGCGGCTGCTTCCCACTAGCTATCTATTTTACATTTGGTAGTGTATATATGTCCACGCCACTCTCTCACTTCGTCCCAGCTTACCCTTCCCCCTCCCTGTGTCCTCAAGTCCATTCTCTACGTCTGCATCTTTATTCCTGTCCTGCCCCTAGGTTCTTCAGAACCATTTTTTTTTTAGATTCCATATATATGTGTTAGCATATGGTATTTGTTTTTCTCTTTCTGACTTACTTCACTCTGTATGACAGACTCTAGGTCCACCCACCTCACTACAAATAACTCAATTTCATTTCTTTTTATGGCTGTCCACTGTTTTTATACCCAGGAATTTCCACCCTGTTTTCTGAG